GATTCCGATCACCCAACCCCAAACTCCAGAACGAGGATCAACCACCACCTCCACAAACAACAACCGAAAGGACATCGAACCAAGAGACCGTCGGAGTACTCCGGCGTCGCGTATGGTCTGCCGAGCGGCTCCGCAAAGGCATAGACGACGCAACAGTTAATTATGTCCTAAGAGCAAAGACTCGCCCCGATACATGTACCTGACCAATCTCTAATGCTATAACACGTTCCTCAATGATACTGTTTATGAACAACCCTGAGCCCGAGCTTAGAAGAAGTCGTGTGCTATCGGGCGCACGCGGCCCGAGCCCGCCACATTTACTGACCATTCTTACGAGTGGGACAGGAAACGGGGGAGGGTAAAGCGCCGCCGACTTGGTGATGAGCAAAGCCTCAAACTTTGCTCGGAACCAAGACGGTGACGCCGCAACGGCGGGACCTATTTAGGTCGGGGTCCGCCCGGCCAGCAGTCCTGGCATGGTGGGGTTAAAACTTGCGACCGCTCGGGCGGAAACAAGGATTAACCCACCAACCCCAAACGGTAGGCACATCCGTCGGCATTCTTAGCGGGAATCCCGGCGGGCCTTATTTTGCTACTCAACCTCAAACAACTTTTATTAACTGCTTTGCAGATTCATACGGAGACGAACTTACGGATTGGGAAAATAACAGTGACACTCGAGGGGATGCTGGTTCCGCCACCGACCAGCAGAGCTCCAGTGAAAGTGAATCCGATGGAGGGGAATGGGCAGACGACCAGCCGGAGGAATTCTGGACGGGCCTGCTCCCATGGAACATAACCCCCCAGAATTTCGATGATGGCTGGCCGGATGCCAACCCAGATGCAATACAGACTCCGGGCAACGCCAATGCGGACGTTGACAATGCACAGTGCGTGCAAGGGCCTGAACGAAGGAGCCCAACCCCAGATCATGGGGAGACCGTGATAAACGGAGCCCAAAATAGAAATGGGGCGCAGTCTGCAGAACAAGATGAGCAGAACTATTGCTATAGACAGCCTGAAGACCGAAGGGAGAACGATGTAAACAACAGATTCTACCCCGGTCCTGCGCAAACAGGCGGGACCGGGAAGAAAAATGTAAAGTCAGCGATTAAGGTCTCGGGCCTGAACGTGAAAGGGTTCGGACATGCAAATGTCAGGAACGAGAAAAACAAATGGCCAGAAATATGGCAGCTGATGCGCGAGAAGAAGACCGGAGTACTGATTGTCGGTGAAGCGCACATGAATGACGAGCGGAAAGAACGAGTAGACGCCCTTTTTGGCAGAAGCATGATAAGGATGGAGTACTCCAAGAGCTCAGAGGCTGCTAACTCCCATGGGATAGCAATAGTCTTGAATAAATTTCTAGTCGAGACGGACAATGTTGTCCGCCGAGAGGTTGTTCCAGGAAGAGCTATGATACTGGAAATGAAAAACGGGGACGGGACACCACTCTCAATTCTGGGAGTCTACGCGCCGACAGACGACCGAGAAAATGAAGAATTCTGGAAAACAGTTAAAAAGTATTATGAAGATAACCCAGAGATTCGCCGCCCAGACATCATGGGAGGCGACATGAACATTGTCGAGGCCACAATCGACAGACTCCCTGCGAGGGAAGACGACACTGACGCCGTTGATGCGTTGGACGACCTCAAGTCATACCTGGGGCTGATAGATGGATGGCGAGATACATTCCCCACCACAAGAGCCTACACCTATTCCCAGACGGCGGCACAAGGCGGAGCTAGATCGAGACTAGACTGGATCTACGGTTCGGAGAGAGATGTTAGAAGAGACATTTGAATGGAGAATTGAGTCTGTAGGAATTGAAACAGACCACGACATGGTGTCAGTCAAAGTGACAACCGCGGACGCGCCCACGATCGGGCATGGAAGATGGGTCTGGCTAATGCATATTCTGAAAGACAAAGTTCTCACCGAGTTCGTTGATACTAAAGGAATGGAATTCCATACAAAACTCGAAGCGCTGGCGGTGGAAGAATGGAACCCTAACGAGAATGCACAAACACTCTGGCGAGACCTGAAGAAGGAGATCAGAAACAAGGCCCGAGAAAGAGCAAAGATACTAATACCAAGAATGACCAAGGAGATCGCTGACATGGAAGCCAGACTGGAGAGCATCGTGAACAACCCCGCGATAGACGAGGAGGAGAAAATGCTAGCTGGGACCGTGAGAAGCTAGTCGAACTGCAAAAGAAAAGATATAAGAGTTCAAGACTAACCGTCAAAGTCCGAAATAGGCTCGAGGGAGAGATCATTGGTAGATATTGGTCGAAGCTCAACAAACCTGCGAAGCCAAGAGACCTGATCCGAAGGCTGCGAACCAACCCCCCGCGACGGAGAAGCCCCGAGATATGAGACAGACTCCAAGAAGATGGCAGCAATAGCACGGAACTACCATAATAAATAACCTCCAAGCCGACAGAGTGGACACCCCAAGGGAAGTACGGGAAGCCGCGACAACACAGGTCCTGTCGCGAATAGAGCGAGCAGTGAACGATGAACAAGCGCAACTGCTAAAAGGCCCTTTGTCCAGGGAAGAGGTAGAATATGCGCTCAAGGTCTCAGCCAACTGCAAGGCCCCGGGACTGGACGGGATACCATATGAAGTCTGGAAGAGCATGAACGATAGATACAAGTCCCTTACCAAGAATAACAAACCTGCGTTTGATGTAATAGGAGCGATGCATGCAGTATTCAACGATATAGAAATACATGGAATGGTCAAAGAGTCGGGATTCTCCGAGAGCTGGATGTGCCCGCTGTACAAGAAGAACGACAAATCGGACATCGCGAACTACCGACCGATATCCCTACTCAACACAGACTACAAAGTGATGACGAAAGCGCTGGCCATCAAGCTTGCACACGTAGCACCCAGCTTAATCCACCCAGACCAGGCCGGATTTGTCCCAGGAAGACAAATCCGGGACCAAGTATGGCTCACAAAGAGGATAATAGAATGGGCAGAAGCAACTGAACATAACGGAGTGATCGTCGCATTGGACCAGGAGAAAGCATACGACAAAGTCGAACATGACTACCTTTGGAAAACACTAAAAACATTCAACCTTCCAGATGAGTTCATTAACACAACAAGGGCATTATATAGCGACGCCCACACGTACGTTATGGTCAACGGCGAAAAGAGCGAGAAGCCTTTCAAAGTAACCCGTGGTGTCCGCCAGGGAGACCCATTGTCCTGCCTCCTCTTCGACCTAGCAATCGAGCCTCTCGCAGAGGCACTACGGAAATCCAACCTAAAAGGCTTTAGAGTGCAAGGAAAAGCCGATAAGATAATAACCTCACTGTTCGCAGATGACACAATGGTGTACCTAGACGAGACAGACGACTGGGACGACCTAATGGCAATACTCGACGAATGGTGCATAGCGGCGGGTGCAAAATTCAACATCACAAAAACGGAAATGATTCCGATTGGCAAACGCGAGTACCGGGACAAGGTACTTGCCAACCGCACAGTAAATGGACATGATGGGACAAAGATACCTGATGACATTAAGGTAGCCGTGCAAGGAGAACCCATACGCACACTCGGAGCGTGGGTAGGCAACGGCGTCGAACAAGCCGCAATATGGTCACGAACGCTGGAGAATATTGACACATCCTTGGCGCAGTGGGGCTTGAGCAACCCAACAATAGAAGGCCGTCGACTAATAACCTCAATGATTGTGGGTGTAAGGGCAACCCCGGAGGCCTGAGATCAAGGTCCTAGCAGGGGAGGATCCGAAGAGAAGAAACTCTAAGGGTCCGCCTGCTAGGTAGCTGACTATATACTGCTTGTCCGTAGCTGCCGCTGTCGGGCACAGGAAGGCTTGGGCGGCGTCGCAGGCGAGGTCCCAGGGGCGACCGTCGGGAGGGCGTTGACGGATCGGTGATTGTACGGGCGAGATGGAGGGCCGGACCGGAGTCGGAACCGGAGTCGGACCGGAATCGGGCGCGTCTCCGGGCCGAAAGGGAGGTTCCCCTGACATCACCCCCCTTTGAATGCGGCGTCCCGATGCATAGACCGGAACGGAATCGAGTCGAAGGTCGGAGGCGATGTGTCGTGGCTTGCCAGGGTACTTACGATAGAACTCCGCAATTTTCTCCGGGCGAAGACGCAGTCGAGCGGACCCATTGGTCGTGCAATGCGTCGTAGCCTTTCCATCTGACGAAGTAGTTCAGCCGTTTATACCTCACCCTTGCGTCCAGGATTTCCTCTACTTCCCACTCCGGGACTCCGTCCTCGAGGTCCGGAGGGGGCTGGTCGTAGCCGGGGCGTCCGTCGAAGGGGTCGTCTTGGGCGAGCTCGAGCTTGACGACGGGGAAGACCGGGTGGAGCTCGAGAGTAGCGCGGAGGGAGGTCGAGCTTGTAGGCACCTTTGCTGATCTCCGCGACTATCTTGAACGGTCCAAGACGGCGATGGGAGAACTTTTCCGAGGGGCGAGTCGTCCTGATGTCAGAGGCATCCAGCCAAACACGGTCACCAACCTTGAGCTCCGGAGATGGAGTGCGTCTCCGGTCGTAGTAGCGCTTGTACTCCTCTTTGGCCTTAGTGAGCGCGGCCTTGGCTTCAGCAACACCAGTGGCGATCCGGTCGCGGAACTCATTCACTGACTCCATGGCGGAACGGACTCCGGGTTCGAAGCCCATGCGCGGGAGCCGTCCCGTGTCTGTCATGAAGGGGACCTGCTGCGTGGAGGAGTGAACGTGGTTGTTGTTGTAGGCGAACTCCGCGGCCGGAATCAGCTCATCCCACACCCGTGGCTGTAGCCTGTTTCAATCATCCCCGGGAACTGCCAGAAAATCCGATTCCATCATCCCTGTGTGTTGCCAGGTCTCTGACAACACTCAAACCCCACCCGTTTCCGTGCTTCCTTGCCGCTGATCTCCGAACTCCGCTTTATCCTGCAGCTTTGATATCATCATTACGACTGATTTGGTCCGAATCATACAATTTTAACATTGTTCTCTACATTCCCTCTGCCATAAATGTTCCCTCTAATATTTCCCCCTCCTCCTCTGCTGCCCAATGACGGACAGCAGCTCCCATTGTTTTGTCCCACTCCTCTCGAAAGCGCACTATAAATTCAGTATGCAGGTACACGTTACGCAGCGCATAAGCTCGGATTCCAGCCGCCGTCGTTCCATCAACGTCTGAACGAACTTCGTCGGCTCGTTTTTGCCATTCTGAAGCCTCCCACTTCAATGATCGCATGACCCGCTTCATCTCCTCTCGCAACAATTCAACCTCCTCGTTCCAGCGTTCCTTCCGTGCACGTGCTTTTGCCCACTCGACACGCATAGCTATGATACCACGTTCAACCGAAAGCAAATGGTCAACAAGCCATAGTTACTCACAGTCATGAAGTTCAACCCCGTCGGCCTGCCCGCCTGCTGCCCAAATCCAGGAAATTGGCGCCGTCTTGGTTTTCTTCCTTTTTTGCAGCAGTCTCCTCTCTCGTAGGTCGCGATCCGTCTGCTGTTCGTAAGCTTCTTGCTGCATCTTCGTCACTCTCGATTTCGATACGAGTGTTCAAATGGGCCTTGTCCAATTTTTGAAACTTCGGGAGCGTAACGTTTGCCTTTGAGGTGAACGAGAGCCTCGTAGCCTTCAGTATATTTGGCAGCGGCCTTCGTTACACCTTCTTCCATCCGAGCCATTAGAGTGACGGAGCGCGTTCTTGCACGTTGCCCCACCATGTTTTCCCCCCGAAACCAAATCATGTGTTGCCGAATGAAGCCTCCCTCGTAAGGCAGCCAGTGCATCTGCACACTGTCCCCGACGCAATTTCGCCGGTCTCAATCAAGTCCGCCATGCTGACTTGTCGACACTCTTCCGCGGTTAACTGTGACGGAAGATAAAGCTTTTGCGTTTTCCGGTTGCGCGTCCTCCGCGTCCAATTTATACCGCTGCGTCGAAGACCCTGAACCCCAGGCATGTAAGTTAGTTGAAGTTTTTTGAAGGTGCGCATTTGTTTGATCAGAGATAGACGTAATTCTTGTATCTGGCTCGCTTGATCTGCTGACTTTTTTGCCTTCAGAGCAGTCCGTTATACGACGCCTGGGGATAGTGAATAGAGTGTGTGGAATGAAGACTTTGACATACTGGATGGCCTGAAGCTGCATACCCGCTCTGATGAACGCTGTTATGGTCATTTTACCTTCCAGCAAAGGTTTGATTCCGGCTCGTGCATCTTCCACCTCAGCTCGTTTCAACTCTTCACTTATTTCGTTCACTAGGCCCGGCTGTCGAGACAGGTCATCAATGCTACAACAGGTATTCAACGTCATGCATACCGAGCTTCCCACCCTGGACTTCAAATGGATTCGTCTGGGTGTTATCCTTATACCAGGCATCCATCATCTTGGCCCATTCACGTCGTTTTTTTTTAGGAACGCTGTCGTCCAGCTCCTGGAATTCAATGCCCTGCCTTTGACGCTCTGCTACAGCAACAATCAAACGTCTTGCAAGTGTCCGCCCTTGCAAATAGTGAGCTTAAACTCTCAAAGAAACCTTAACTGACCCATGCTCCTGTTTTTCTCAAAATTAATCAGGTCGATCTTGTCCTCCAGGACATCATGACGGGCGCCTTCTCCCATTTCCTTTGTCGACCAACTTGCGGGATTGAGTAGGCTCCACAAACGCTCGGTGCTTTCCCCATCCGTCTTTCCAACACCCAACAAGTACCTAAGCGCAAACTGAATTCGACATTTGGGGTCATGAGCTTCAGCATGCCAGACCGGCAGTCCGTATTGCAGGCGAATACGGTCCAATCCGGTGAATATCTCTTCGATATCCACGCCCGTTGTCTTCATTCGTGCGACGCGCTCAGGAAAGTATACTTGCCAGTGACATACGATGTCGTATGCAAGCAAGACCCACAGAACTTCCTCGTCTGACAGAGTTGATAGCACGGTCCAATCCACGTTTCCATAGCTGGCACAAAGAGTTAGTATCCAAGTTGTTCCTGGCATCAAGCAACTTGCCGTTCTCCACGTTGAAGGTCTCCCATCCCTCGACGACGACGAGGCCGAGGCCGTGCCGTGCACAGACACAACCAACTACGCCAGAAACTCTCAGGCCAGTGGTCAATTTGGTCTCCTTCTGCAAAAGAGCAGCAAACGCAGCACAAGCCTGGACCTGAAGTATCGCATTAACATGGAATAGATTCGACTAGAGCGCACTGACATCTTTTTCGTCAACGAGCGTTTTGATATGTTCTTTATATGGTCCAGATCGTGAAGTATCCCAAGCCATCGGTCAACGCCGGATCCATGCGTTCTCCAGCACGAAGCTTGTTCTTCAGGCGGAAATTGGCATCGAATGCCAACATGAGCTTATACAAGTATCTGCACATTTGTTGGTCAAGAATAGTTTGATTAAATAGCTACTCACGCCTTCGACTCCGGAACCTTGTCCCATCCGGAAGGCAAGTTACGAGAAGCATCTGGGCATGCCCAGCAACGCACAGCCAACGCCCCTGGCGGCGTAGTTACAATTCCATTGGCTTCATGCCCGCGACCTCCACGCTTCATCATTTTAAGATAGCTGTATTGTCGAGCCATTCGACCGAAAGCAACGCGACGATCTGGGACCTTTTCCAGTCCGGTTGAATCCGTCAACTTCTCCAACGTGCGCACATAGTCTTGGACATTGATGTTTTGCGATGGAGCGCAGGAAGCGAAATGTCTCCAAAACGTTGAAGGTTGCACAGGTCGCAGGGTTTGTTGTCGTGGCCGGATACCACGCATTTCGAAGCAATTGTCTGACGGGGTCGAATCCGAACGGATTCACGCAGCCACAGTACTGCACGTCCAAAGTAAAAATGCCATTGACATCGATGACCACCAACGGTCGACGGTTACTGGGGAATGGGCATGGGGCACCGTCATGACCAAGTTGATAACAGCCCGCCAAACCACGAGCTCCATGCTGGATGGGTCCGGCATAAAACAAGGAGGCCTTCGTCCAGAAGTGACCCGTCCATTCCTAAACAAGCTAGGTAAACAAGTAACAAAATCGGTGAAGAAATAAATACCTGCAATTCATGGAGCGGCAATTTCTGATGAGCGGCTTCCACACAGGTCTCACAATGGAGTCCGTCCCCACATTGCTTGCAGCGAAAAAAACGGAGCCCCGTCTCCTCCATATGATTGGCTTGACAATTCACACATTCTTGGCATGCGTTAGGGTTTCCGAGACCGTCTCTTCGTAGCATTTCCTCCAGAAAGAGAGCCGTCAGTGGTTGCCACATTGCCATAGGATCGTCCTAAGGGAATGAGCTTCTGTATAAAGTCGTAGTATCAACCGACCGATGCATAACGTTTTCTCTTCAATGTCGATTCTTCTTCCAGTTGAATCTCCAACGACGACACAGTATCCACCAGCTCTCTTACGTCCTCCAGTTGCGCATCTGGGAATGGCATCCAGTCAGCGAGTTCAGGTTGAGTTTCAATGACCTCTTGATTAAGGCGAGCCTTTTTTTTAGGCGATGGATTTGTCTGCTGGCTCAGCACGCGCTGTCCATCCAGAGAATAATGAACTTGTAGGTGGTTGAATTCCTCCTCAGCGGCGTCGTCAAAATATGTGTGTCGCACAACGTTGGGGAGTCGAGGCATGCGAAAAGATGGAGGCATCAACTTGATGCGCTGTCCATTTATTTCACGACAATTATTTCTTTTGGTCCATAAGTAATTACAGGCTACTCTGCGTCAACCTTGGCTGGCGAAGTTGGGGGAAGTTCAGGTCGGGTTGATTCCTTGACCTCCCGCGCCGGGCGCTATGTGAAGATAATGGCAGTCATAGAGACTGCCCGTCTCATCGGACAAGGCCCATCCCGCAGTCCAATCCACATTTTCATAACTGTCCAAAAATGAGGATCGCATTGCTCCCATAAGCCAAGAACTTGCCGCTCTCCAAGTTGAAGGTTTCTTGGTGTTTCGTGGATCTTGTGCAGGACATGCGACTGCGGCTGGTAGATTCGCATCGTTTCAAAGAAGTTGGTCGGAAGGGGGCACCTCGCGGCGTCTGAAGTACAGTGTAAACCGTCACGGCTGGTGGATACAGCTCGCAACGTCCGAGAGTTTCGAAAGGGCTTTAAAGTACTGTGTAAACCGTCACGGCTGGTGGATACAGCTCGCAACGTCCGAAAGTTTCGCGAAAGGGCTTTAAAGTGTGTAAACCGTCACGGCTGGTGGATACAGCTCGCCAACAGCTCGCAGTGTCAAGGAACGAACTAACAATCGGAAGGGACCGCTTCCGAGTCGTCACATCGTCATCACGAGTCGTCACATCGTCACCTATCGTCACACCTCATCAGACTTCATCGCACCAAGGTCACGATTCTGCCATTTTCTCAGTCTGGATCGTGTTGCGAAGGTACACGCTGAACACTGTTCGTTTCTCATGTCTGACAGTTGGCTGCAAGCACATTCTCACCGTGCTCAAGTTTGTGAGCGGCGGCGACGACATTGAACACTCTCTTCCTTGTTGCTGGATACTCTCTTCCTTCCTCTCTTGTTGCTGGCTTAGACGCTAAGACGCCGGGTCGGGCCGTTTCTCAGATCTCAAGACTAGCTCAGACGCTAAGACGCCGGGTAACAACCATTCATGGCGTCATGCGAAATGTCGACGTCCGGAAATTCATTTGTGCGGCTGCTACCTCTCAGCGCTTGATGAGGAGGAGCGACCAAAGGTAACTTAGCTCCCACCAAACCGGTACTCGACGTTAACCTCTGTTATCAAGACCTCCCCCAAACATTATACTGGTCTTGTGCGAAATAAGCCCGCAATTTTTTTCGTGTTCAACGGCGATCGGGCTGTCATTTACTCCATCCCCAGTCAGCGGCAAGCCCCTCCCACTTCCTCGAACAAAACGCTTAACGGCGAGATGGCCAAAACGGCCTGGCTTAATATGGACCTACCTCACTTGTTATTTATGCCTCGTTTCCACATCTTGCACAATACTCTATTGAAGCCGCTGGACTTTCAGATCGGTGCAACCCCGCAAGAGGAGCTTGTTGTCCCGCATTTTCGTGGTGCGCAGCACGTTCGAGTTAGGGGTATGAAAGGTGACTTGCGTGATCAATGGCTCCGACTCGAGGGTTTTTTGCGAACGACCTTGACTTGGTTAGATCAAAATGTTATGAAAGCGCCAAAGGCTCCGACGGAACTCAAATCTAACGTTCGTCCGTGGCACTCTCTACCATCAACATTCGGGTATACACAACACTTTGACCTTGAATCCCCACAAGATCTACACAAAGCTGTCTTGCAATCTCTCCATGCTTTTCGCCCGCTGCTTGGGGCTATCACATTATTGACTCTAGTTCTCGATGACATTAAAATGCCAGGATGGCGCGAACGCTATATCAAGGAGAGTCAAGTGGATGCGGCACTGTGGGACGAACTAGAAGAAGTCGTTTTCCAGATTGCCCGGGACCCATTGGAGGTATCTTAGACTTTTCAAGCCCAGCAGCAATCGAGAAAGCTCGGTCTCTGGATTGGCTATTCTCCATGATATTGAAGAATGACATTCGTGTACCCTTGTATTTCTTCTTGAACAGCACCGATCCCGCGTTGTTCAATGCTCTTCCCTCCATGCGATGTTACCACCTTTCTGTCCAATCAGAGCACATACAGAAAGTTCGCAATCTTAGTGGCCAAGATGCAATCATGGAATGGACATTCATCGACAACGCTAGGCGCCGATTTGGAGTATTCCGCAATGCTGATTTCTATGCAACGTGCGCTCAAGCTGAGGAACTGCCAAAGAAGCCGCCGCGCCGGGAAATGCCGCCGGTTGATCCGAATAGCGGCCAAAGATTCGGCGAGAGTTATCAAGATTTTTTCCTGCGGCGCACCAGACACAACGCGGCGATCAATTCCGCGGAGGAGAAGGCACAGCTTAAAAAACGACAAGAGCGTGTCACGAAGATGCAAGGACTGGGTCCGAGTTCGAAGAACACACAGGTTTTCATGTGGAATGCTTATGACGGCTTTTTGATACGCAGACCGATAACACATTCATTTGCTGTCAGTGTGTGGAAAGATTATGAGCCCTATCAACGTGTCTATGATGTGGGCTCGAATCAATGGGACCTCTGTCCTGGAATCAGGACTTGGGAAGAGAGCACAGCTTTGACGACAATCGCAGATGATCCGGCACCGAGGACGAGAACCAGTCAGAACTCTGCTCCGGGCCAAGCAAAAACTCTCGAATCGGGTCAAAGTTCTGATGATCAGTCCGATGACTCCGAGTCTAATTCGGGCCAGCTGGAAATTCCAAACTCTCAACTTGAATCCCATCCGGTGACTTTCGACAGCGAGTCTGTAGCGAATGGTGTCGGGGATGATGTTCAGCTGGAGCCTGACGACAAGCTGGAGCCTGACGACATCGAGTCTCAAGTGAGCGACTCGAGTCGAACACGGTTGGGATAGCCAGTGTCAGTGATGTTGCCGACGACTCGGATGCCAGTGGTCGACCTGCCTTCCCAAATCTTCCCGTAAATCTTCCGGATAACATGTCGTTGTTGCTGAACGATGGAGGTGGAGCCTCCGCCAATGTCGTCGCTTTCTACGAGTCTGAAAGAATGGACTTTGAGACAACGCAACTGGAGTCTCTGACAAATTGGGATGATTGCGGTGTCGTCTTAGCAGAACGCTTTGGTCATATAGAAAATCAATCCTTCGACGCTCCAGGACCTGAGGTTATCACATCCGAGAACTGTTTAAATGTGCTCGGAGACCTCCGTTCATCGTACCTAGTGTCAAATTCGACTCGAGTTCTATTCCAGGAGATTGCAAATGCAAAACCCCTAGCCGAAATCCCAGCAGTGTTGCTTGATTTGGCCCAGGCGGAAGAAGAGACGCACCTCTGGAAAGATCGGGGGATTAACGTTGTTTATTTCCGACAACAAGACGCTCCGGTCCACGAGAGCCGCGTTTTCGTGATAACCCCCCGTGGAAGGAACAGCGACCATGGCGAAAAGATTCTGCTTTTCAGTGCGACCACTGTTTTGCACCTCATTCGACTGAGATTTCAAGACTGGGAAGATCTATTGTCGGAACTTGTTCATCTCGGTTGCCCATTCCATATCATACTGGCGAATTCCAGAATCCCATATGCTCCTAGATACATGAGATGGGTTGGTCTTGGGGTTCGTCAAGAGGGTTATCGGCCATCTCGACTCGATTTCTTGTCCTATGTGGCCCACCGAGACCGATTCCTTCACTCTCCACGAGGTGTGCTTGCGCTATATTCCGGTGGCATCATCAGCCGTATCGCACGTCATGTTCTCGATGATCCTCTACACAGAATACGTTGGAACTCAGTCGACATCTTGCGGGCTGACGCGGAGATTGTGGATCCAAAGTTCGCCGACCACGCGTACTATTACCATCGCCTCACCCCGCAGGAAGAGGACCTCATTTGTGGTGTGTACTTGGTCGAAATAAGTGAGTGTATCCAGATTATTTCCATGACTATCATCCATTCAGTATGTTATTAGACCACCTGGAACATAGTCGTCACGTCCGAGTGGGCGGTCAGCAAACATCCACAGCCAGATTATCATGGTGGCCTCAGCCCGCAGCATTCTTCAAATCAGGTCTTAATGTTGGATGGTGGACGCCTAATTGCGAGCACTTCTTCCGGAAGATATTGAATGAGATGGAGTCGGGTGGTGGCCGGATGTGGACTCACACAAAATGGCGACGAAATATTAAATACTTTCAGAAGGCCCACCACATT